CGGTGGTAGCGGTCGCACTGATCGAAGAACTAAGCTGCCCACTGTCATCTCGCTGGGGTACTCTCCAAGCTCGTCGGAGAAGGATGAGAGGGTGGACACACTTTCCTCGTCACTGGAGATCTCAATCCTCTTGGCTGGTTTGCCTCCCTGCTTGGCCCGGCGGAGACGAGGTCGTGCAATGGCCTTGTCATGCTCTGTGTCGAGTTGTACAGGAGCAGGGCAAGCAGTGTTATCCAGCTCCGTCTGCTTGGTTCCCGGAAGAGGCTGGGACGAGCCCATCCCAGGGCGTGGATCTGCATCCTGGGTCAGTCCAGTCGCCTTGGTCATAATGGCCGCGCAGCCAGGCCGGCAAAAGAGGTGTCTCGAGAGGAGCTAGCAGGCCCCAATAAATAGGGGCGTAAATAGACGGTGGTGGGAGGAGGTTGTCGAGTTTTCCACCGGATAAATCTGAGTCGCTGCAGCTCGCTGGTTGTTAGCTGCGCCTCAGCGCTCGGTGGTCCAAAAGGTTCCAGCCAATATTCTCCAACATCTGGCTTGGTCGGTAGACCGAAGTGACTGCTCGGGGGACGAGGGTCCCCAGCCTCGGCAGGTGCCCCAGTGGTGGCAGTGTTGGCATCGCCAGCGGTACCTCTAGCTTGTCCCACATCTGGCCCACGTGGGCTGGTCACCCCGTCGGGGGAGGCATCCGTAGCTTCTGGCTCGAGCTCTGTGTAGAGGCGGTTGAGTTGACAGGGCCGTTGGCTTTTCCGCCTTTCTCGTCGATCCATGAGATCACGGCCACACTGTGTCCAAGGGGCTTCAATCAAAAAGTCGAGACAAGGCAGTGTTACATCCTGCCATGGGCTCCATGGGGAGCTGGAAAAGAAAGGCCTGGAGCGATGAACCGTTGAGCCAACATCGACAACGCGGTGTGGCGCAGTGAATGGAGGCAGGTCACAACATCTACGTCGCACACAAGACAGACAGCGTCTCGAGAATCCGACGTCCGGAGGGAGGGAATGCCACTGCAATGGCCAGTGCTCGTCCAGTTCGTGGATCGGACCTGAAGGAGCCAAGTAAGAGAGGGATGACCATGGACTGAGTGTGTTGGCCGTCCAAACAGAGGCAGGCCTGCTTTTCACTAGCACAGAGGGGTGCGCAATCCGTGCCAAATGCATGGGCCCATCACCGTAAAGTGGTGAGACCTCGCTTCCTAGCTGCAAGTCAGTTGGATCACTTCGACTGCTGTTCTGAAGCAGATGGCAGTGCAGAGCGCTTCGGGCTTCGGCTACGACTCGTCTTTCCCATTGACAATGTGCCTTGGGTTGGTGCCAAGTTGGCGCCTCAGAATGGATCTGTTCTTGCCAGCGTCGATAAGCCTGCTCCGCGACTTGGGCAGCATATAAGAGGTCCCCCTCAGTAGGAGAGTTGGAGTCGGTATCCTCCTGTCGAGTTTCCACCCCTGTGTCTTTATCATGATCAAGAGACACGGGCAGAGCCGTAGTATTGGCATGCGAAGCTCGGCGGGTCCCGGCCATGGTCGCACTCGGTTGCTCAGCCATGAACTACAGAGGCAGGATGCACTAGGGACTACTCTGGCTGGCTCCGGCAAGCACGGTGCTTTGAGGCCCACACGACCAGAATGAGAAGATATCCATATACGCCATGTCACAGACTGCTGACATGTTGGAAAACCATACTGGCTGAGGACAGGCTGCGACCGAGGCGCTGGCTTCCAAAGGTGCGTCCTGTATATAGAGCCCACCTTGGAGGTAGGCTGATAGAGCACGGTAGGATGCATGACGTGGCAGGTCGCCGTGCATCGAGCAAGGAGTGTATCACAGGCGAGACACTCAAAATGTAGCGGCACTTTTTGCACCCAATGCATGGGGTAGGGAAAAGAAAGCTCCGGCCCACCAGAAGAGGTACAGTGTAGCCAGCCATTGCTCCTGCAGGAAGAAGATAGGACAAGCGCAGGCCCACATCTAGGATGAGGAGGATCCATCATACGGATGCAACCGGACGGTAATGGCCAGAACCGTGCTGGGAGTCGCCGTTTCCAGCATCGAGACATCAATAGGTATCTCCAAGGTAACCTCCTGTCTGCCCTCAGAGCTGGTAAGAACTTGCCCCCGAACAGGTCTGGACGTCGTAGGAGGAACCTCCCAGAACATGGAGTGAGGGCGTAGAGGGCTGCGGCTGCGCGAGCGCTGGTCTCCACCCCGACTGCATCTGGCACGTCGTACAGGACCAGGTGGTGTCGAACCAATGACAGCAGTCTCTGGGGTGCGTGGCACATGGGTGCCACAGGCGGCCACAGGTGCGGAATCGGAGGGCCTGCCGGTACTGCGTTCGGGGCTTCCACAAGATGCATGAGCGGAGCCCGATCGTCGAGATCCGAGGAGGAGGGATCTGAGTGGGCCATGGCACTCTAAGGAAATGGAAGTTACCGCTCACAGCAATCCAGGACGGCTGCTGGGACACCTCAAGTCTAGCTTGGGCCCCAGTGCCGATGTAAAACTGGCGTGTGGTCCGGTGCCGGGCAGCACATGGGATATCACCATTATTTAATAGAAACTCATAGAAACTCTGGTTGCAATGCGACAGGCTGTGAGGCACAGACGTGATGCACCGGCCACAGATGGGAAAGGTCGCAGCACCTATCAGAGGCGAGCAAGGCGTGTGCCCAGTAGGTGCACCACGTCCATCTGGCTAAGGGCTGTGCACGAGGCGAGCCAGTGGAGGACCTGAGAACAGCACAAGTTGCAAAATCGAAGCACAGAGGACTTGTACTCAGCAGTGCAAACTCCCTGTAGGGTCGACCAGTGCTCTTTTCATGTGCAGCGGGATGAAGCCTGGTCGGTGACGGCAGGTAGAGGTCCCTGCAAGACGACTTCCCTGTATCCCAGGAAGAGAGAAGGGCCCTTGCCTTTGCAGCTACTGTGTGCAGTAAGAGCACGGGGCAAGAAAGATCATCGAGATCAGGGCGGCGGTCGAGGCTTCTCCACCAGGGCGCTGACTCGCACAATGCACTGGATCCCCGGCGGCGAAGGTATCGGAACCATAACTGGAGCACTTTGCTGAGGCGATCCGGCTCTGGTCGTGGGAGTGGGCGCCCTCGAAATCGTAGATCCTGGTCCAGCCGTTGGAGCTGACGTGCCCACCGAGACTCCCATCTCTGCCGAGACTCGCAAAGCACCTGCTGGGTCTGTTGTGAAAGTGGCCGGCAAGATGCTTGGTGACGGAGCAGGGCTGGGTGGAGGTGGTCCAGCTTGTCGAGCTTTGGCAGGCGGAGAACCAGCACCACTCGATAGTCCAGGCAAGTTGACCGGGGTCGGAGGCGGAGGTCCAGCCGGAAACGAGGATGCCACTGGTCTTGCTGCTGGATCTGACTCGGAGTCTGGTGAGAGAGGAGACGTCGTCTCATCACTGGACTCCGCCTCTGGGGCCGTTTTGGCCTTGGCTCTGGCCTTGCCACGGCCTCTTCCGCCTCCAGCTCCCCCACTGCCAGCATCAGCCGCTCGTCGTTTCGCCATCGCTCAACACCCGATGAAAAGAGACGTGGTGTACCGTAGATGTCCCTCGGCAGAGCCCAATATGCTATGGACAGTCGATGCGGATCCGGCATAGCAAACTTTGAGGAGTAAGGGACTGAACCCTCCTGGTTGGGCTGAGCAAGCAGAGCAAGTGCTGAGCTTAGGACGAAGGACCCAGCAGAGAGACCGTGAGCGGAGTCAACGGTACCTGGGTGAAAGAGGAACCAGCCATGCTCGAGGGGAAGCAGGCCCTGAACTGGGCAGAGGACACCGGGCGAGGAGGCCTCAAACCTGGGGTGACAGGACAGAGCGGTGCTAATAAGGTTCATGTGGCGAGGCATGTGACGAGGCATGATAGGTCCCGAAGCTGAGTGCAGCACACCAGGCGAGGTAGCCTCAAACCTTGGTGGCAGCAGGTAATGGGAGTCATAAAGCCAAAACAGCATAGTCAAGGCGATGGCCGGAGGCGAGGTGTCCTCAAACCTAGGCCGTGTGAGTCGAGGCAGAGTCAAAGGGGAGGTGCCAGGGTGAATGACACCAAGGCATGGACCACTCCGAGGCTTGCACAAGTCTCACAGAGACCGAGCCATCCCTAAGCCCTCATGGCTTCCAGTATGTGGGGGTCCTACCTGCACATGCAAGGTGAGGGCAGACGCCACCGGCAAGCAATCTTTTGTCCCCAAAGAGAATATACCAGCTCTAGTCCATAGTCTCCAGGTATACAATTTGCGGCAGCCTGGAAGCATTGCAGTATACGAGCTGTGCGCTGGCTCAACTATGCAATTATGAGGCCACGGCAGTGGCAGGAAGGCAGAGTCGTGCCAATCCAGCGTGTTGAGCATGACAGGTCGGGGTACCGCTGTCGGCATTGCAATGGGCATGGTGTCACAGTCTTTAGGAGTAGTCGTTACATTCGAGGACTCCATGTGAGCAACCGCTGCTGTATAAGCCCCCTGGGTTGCTTGCCAGAGAAACGAGCTCCGAGCAACGGATGGGATTGTGAGCCTTGGCCGGTCGCAATCGGCAGTAGAGTACGGCTGATCAAGCTGCCAGGGCTGACCTGATGTGCTTGGCATTGGCCCGTTGCCCTGAAGATGGACACACGCTAGGCCGAACAGCACACATAGATTTTTGCAAGCACTGCCCAATCTGAGTCTGACACCAGCCGTATTGCACAGGTGTAGGCCGTGGATCTTGTTGGGTGGCAGGGTGGCATAGTAATCGCCATTCAAGGTCAGTCTGCGGATTTTCGCGGGCGAGTCTAATACCATGGCGGGCATAGCACTGCAACGTCCGAAAGAGACCCCCAACGACCACCGAACGGAGGAAGCCACCCACACAAACACCCAACCACACACCACACCACACCACACCAAGCCCCGAACAGGGGGGCTACCGACTCCGTGTAGGAGTCGCAGTCGCTGCTGAGCCTTATATGTCTGTACATGCATGCATACACACATACCTGCATACATACCAAGATTCCGCCGGAGCTTCTGGCGTCCACTTCTTCCGATCTACCGGCTCCCAGCGCTTGTCCTCAATCGCAAGTGCCGGATTTAACACAGGCCTTCGTAATTGGGTATATTATACTGTAAGCATAACCAGGAACCCCCCAAAATAGTATAGGTAATTAACTGTAAGGATCCTATATTAAATGAAAAGAGTTGTGGGGCATGTTGAGGGCTCAGGGTGGAATTCCGGGTGTAGGGCTTAGTTTAGGCATTGTGGTGGGGCTTTCTAGTGAACTTGGATCCCGCACACACGATGAGGCCCTTTCGAAGAGGAGAAGGTCACAACGACTTAGAGATAGTGATGGGGTTTGGGGCTTGGGGGTTGTGTTGAGAGCAAGTCCCGCGCAACAGCTGATATCTCGTTGGAGAACTGAGTTTTACAATTCTGCTGTCAACCATGACTACACCGAATCCGTTTCCACATCTTGTGACTCCATCTAGCTGATACAAGTTTCGAAACAAAGAACCCAACTCAATTAAGGCTGACATCAGTCTCACAAGGGGATTTGAACAGCGCGGAACAAATGAACATAAAACACGATGGACGACGGAGAGCCGGGACAGGTTCGTTCAGTTCAGTAGAGGGTTTTCACCACCACCTTACACCTTATCTCTTAGCCCTACCTAGACCCACAACCCCCTTATTGTAGCCGTTAATTACCTCTTAATGAGACATATCAGACCCCTTTAAAGGGCACTTGGCTTACTCCTCCAATAAGCCACAGAAATACAAGGTTAAACTTTCCGATTCCTACTAAACTATAAGAACCCAAAAAGTCTAAAGGTTGGGTATTGGGGATCTTAAGTTGGGGGGTCCTGGTACCCGCCGTCCACCCACTTCTCTTCATTCTCAGCATGCTCGAAAAGCTCCTCGCACTGACAAGTCTCTAGTTTGGGAGTTTCCGAATAATTAGGGGTACCGTATTTTTGGGGTTTTGGGATCCTAATACTTAATAAGGATCCTACCATTTTGGGTGCTATATTAGGGTCCCCGATTTTCGGAAACCCCCATTTTAGGGTTTAGACATTAGAGTTGAAGGTATCAGCCTAAACGGGTTTAAGGGCTTCGGGCGCCGGAGTTTCGCACGAGCAATCTGCGCCCAAGCAGGAAAGGAATCACAAAACCCTAAACCGCATCCGCCACCATCGGAACTTCGGGCTTTTGAGGGTTTAGGGCTTAGAGGTTTAGGGTTTAGGGGGTTTAGGGTTTTGCTCACGATCCCGATTTAAAAACAAGGGTTTCTCAATCCGGCTCCTGCATTAGATGGAGAGACTCTCGAACATGAGCCTCTCGGGTGCCTTAACCTCGAACTTGCGTCGAAACAAGTAGTAATTTGGAATACCTGCACCCCAAAAGTGTGTAGCATAATGGCCTTCTTGAGGTATTGGGCCATTATTTTACCTAGGTTCGGGGGTTTAGGTAAAGGCTTCGGGTTCTGGGAAGCACCTTTCCCTCCATGATGTTTCCCAGAACTGAGGCCAAGTCCTCTTCCAGGCCACAAAACCCCAAATCCAAAACCTCTCGCACCAGAAGCCTGGAAAACGAAGTAAACCCAAGGCCCTTCAGCCGAAGTCCTCAAAGCCAAGACCCGTGGAAAATTAGACGACTTTACTTCTTTAAGAACCCTAAACTCTTAAACCCTGACTCTACTTACTTATGAACCCTCAACCCTGACTCTAATTGTTCATGAAGCCTAGACCCTGAATCTACTTTTTTATGAACCCTAAACCCTGAACCCTCTCTCTATCTCTCTCTCTCTCTCTCTCTCTCTCTCTCTCTCTCCCAGGCCCTAAACCCTATACCCTGAACCCTAAACCCCGAAATCTTGAACCCTCCTGGACGGAGACGATGAAGTCAGGCTTGCCAGCAGCACGTTCGAGACTTGGCTTCCACTTCGCCGCCGAGTTGTAGCCTTGGCTTAGCATTTAGGGTTTCGGGGTTTAAAGTTTAAGGTTTAGGCCTTAATAATTAGAGTAGGGTTCCGTAAAATGGGTCTATAATGGTTACAAACCGGCCGTGGTAATTAGAATAGGGTGTTGGGGCCTTTTACTATAAATATAATAAGGAGCCCCCCAAAAGGGTAAAGGTCATTACTCGGGCCCCTACAGTACGCTCTCGCGACTCGGACTCTAGGGTGGTTCGACTGGAAGGTTTCGACGCTCACACTTGCACAGGCAGGCAAGGCTCCACACAGAGGGTATTTAGGGGCTTGGGATGTAGGCTTTGTTTTTTAGTGTAGTTGCCCTTTCTCTCGCCCACCTCAGTGGATGTAGGTTTAGGGTTCAGGGTGGAAGGGTGGCTTAGGCTTGGGCTAAACAAATGGGGCTGAGTTGTTATGCTTGTTGGCATTGTGTGTCGGATTTCGTTGTTTACGCTCTCGCAACTCGGACTCGCCAGACGAGGTCTCTGTGTTCGGGTCGAGGGTTTAGGATTTAGGCTTTGGGGGTTTAGAGTTTCGGGGTTGGGTTTTTTTGGTTGTGGATTGTTGGAGGTTGCTAGCTGTAGGCAAGGTGTTACTATAGGGGCCTTAATGATTTCACAAAGGTTTGGACACATATTATACTATTACATGTAATAAGGACCCCCCCCAACAAAAATTAGTATTGTAATTATTTAGGCCCCTATGCTATTCCGCAGAACTTCTGCGAAGTGTTGGAGTTTAGGGCCAACGTCTATGGCCGGCCAGGTCAGCAGTCGGAAAACAACATTGGGACAACCAGCCATTGCGGATGTAGACCCTAAGCCCTAAACCGAACCCTACACTTTCTCATAATATGCTTTCCTTATTGTGGCAACTGGCACTACCTTCCTGTAAGCACCAAACCCAAAGGTCCCTTTTAAAAGCAAATCCCAAGCCCCAATCACCTCGGTGGCTGTGTGGGCACCAAGCCGCTTGCGGAAGTGGCTGCTTGAGATGAGCGGGCCTGCCACAGAAATGTCACCAATCAGGAAACAAACGGTCTTGGAGTCGACGCTAGGCGCCCTTACGCATTGTAGGCTTCAGGGTTTAGGGGGTTGTCCATGTTGCGGCCCTGCAAAACAGTCAGTTCTCGCAGGTTCAAGGTAGGGTCAAGGGTTCAGGGTTTCATGTCGTGTGCCGGATTACACGAGGGGAGCCTTAGCTTCGTTGCAAAGTGCCACTACTTGAGTTTAAGATCTCATCAGCGGTACCCTAGTGCTCTGCAGATTCTGCATAAACCCTTGTTTTGAGCAGGGACTGCAATGCACTAAGCCCTGAATCCCTTCAGCCAAGCTTCAGATAAACCCCAAACCGCTAAACTCTAGGCTCCTTAGAATGGCCAGCGGCTAATGCAGCAGATTGAGAACACAACACTGCCAGGGCACCCGTAAGGCAGACTTGTGAGTAAAGTTTACAGGGCCGTTGGGGTCTGACTTTGTTAAACAGAAGGTTGAAAGCAATGCAATGCCAAGACGACAACCGACCACGTTTGAAATCGCTCGTTGTACTGGTGATCACAGCTCATGGAACTTGCTCCGTCGATGTCGTCACATGGCATTGCCACTGTTTCTGCCGGTGCAATTGCTGCAGACTCCGACCTGGGGCCGTATAAATCCTCGCTGGTCTGTCTTGTCTTGTTGTCGTTCTATTCTGTGCTCGTCATCGGAATAAGGTTTCCGAGTCCTACACGGCAACGACAGAGGCATTGTCAGGGAATCTTGAAACTGATGCTTGAGCTCAAGCATCCGTCAAACTGCACCCTACCTCAAACCACTTGAAACTACTGTCGTGTGGGGTCCTTATACAGTTCATATGAGAGTCTATGATAACAGTAGGTTTTGGTAGGTTTAGGTCTAGGTCACACCTTCTATGGTGCAGCTCGAGACTGTGAGGCTTCTTGGGGCTTTATCTGAAGGGCTTACAGATTTCAGTTCTTACTATCAGTGTGAGGGCTTTTCGGGTTTTGGGTTTGGTGGTTGGGGCTCGAGGATCCGGGGAAGGCTTGATTCCTTGATCAATCGAGCTTCGGCTTTAGACTCAGGTGGTCACGATCTGGACCTGAGTACTGAGCACCAAGAGCCGCTCGTTAAGGGGTTCAGGGGCAAACTCCCAAGCTCCGAATCTTTTGACGCCAAGCTTTTTAGTCTAATCATCTGGGCATCCAGTCTCTCTTCTTCCGTCATCCTAATCGCCGCATGCCTTTGGTGAACCAGCTCTGCCCGGCCATGAAACTAGGTGGCAACCTGGATTCATGGAAATTAAGATCAAAGCTTTCATAGGCAGAAGAAGGCATTGTGGAGAGTATCCTACTGTAAGCATGTCGGGATAACGATGTTCACTAGTCATTCCCAGCATGTCAGGCTTCGATTTTAGGGCTGCGCTTTGACTCCTGCTATACCTCCAAAGTCTTTTATGTACAAGGGTGAACCTGCCCCCCTCAGATCCAGCGTTGCTAGGCACCTGCAGGAAGGCACGCTGGCGGGACAAGCGTCGTCGAACTTTCACGAACATGGAAGACTTGGCATGTCCAGGGCTATGCTGGACTTTGGGTTTCGACGCCAAAGCAGTGAGGGTCTGTATTCCGGCTTGCAGCATAGTGAGCATCAACTCCCCACACAAATCTAGGGGCTCAAGGTGTGGGGCGAAAGCACTGGCCAATGGGTGCTTGCAGAGCCTGCAAGCAAGGTAGCCTAACTCTATCCAATGAAGCTACGTAACCCTCTTATGTTCCTCAACTCCAGGCCCTGGAGATCTCGGTGGTCGAAGCCTACACCCTAACGCTGAGCCCTAATGACATGCCAAACCCTGAACCTGACCTTGCCTTTGGTTAGTAGGGAATGGAAGAATGGTAGTAATAGTAGTAATAATTGTAGCCCATTCCTCCATTCCCTCCTACCCTTAAACCCTACACCCCATTCCTCCATTCCCTACTAACCAAAGGTAAGTGAACCACGACCTCAGCGCCATCGTACCGACTCGCGTCGCCGCTCCACACTGCGGCTCCTCGAGGACTTCTCGCGAAAATGGCCTGCGGCCCAGGGTTCAGGGCAGAAGTATAGCTATTTTGAACTACCAACACCTACTATTTTGTAGGGTCCCTATAAATTCCATATTAGGGCTTGTAATAGGAGCCTACATACAAGTAGGTCACGGTTATGGTAGTTTAGAGTACTGCACTTGGAAAAACAGCCGTCACCTCATCAAGAGTCTATGGCGGGTGTTGGTGTCATCTGACATCTGAAACACCACCTTCTACCGCCTTGAGGGGTTACCAAACACTCGGGTTTTGGGTCTGCGACCCGTGGTAACTTCCCGAAACAGTTGGCGGCATCATCCTGGGTTCCGGGGTTTTAGGAGCTGCAAGCCAGGAAACTCCAATGGGTGGTTGTCAAATTGGGGTCCTCATTATAATACGGCGCCTAATAAGTCGGGTACCCAAAAAGGGACCATAATTTTGGCAACCCCCCGAATAATCCAGTAAACGATGGTATGTCAATCCCGGTCCATAGTGCCTTCGAGTCAAGGACTCCCATATCCCTTACAATGGCATCAGCTCCGAAACAATTTAGGGGTATAGGGTTTAGGGTTTAGGGTTTAGGTGTTAGGTATCATACCGCAATGGGCAAAAGGAAGTCAGAGACCCCCTTGCAGAAGCACGTAATGTCCGCACGGCAATGTATCCAAACCCTTATAAATCAGAGGTCCACGGTTCATGGCGTGCTTGTGACTTTTTGTATCTCAACTCCTGGGGGTTGTAACAGTTTGGCGGGGCGACACTGCTACACCTCCGGTGAATGTTGCAAGGCATCTGCAGGGGCTTCCCGCTACAGCTCCAGTTAAGGCTCCGTTACAGCTCCGCGACAGCTCCCGTTCAGTAGAGGCTCTCGAGCCGTGGTAGAGAACACCCCCAAGTTCAAAGCTTAAACCATGATAGAGTCAGTCTAAATCTTAAACCCTCAACCCTGAAATCCTAAACCCCTAAACCGTCACCTCTGAAACCTCAACAGGCTCAACCCTGGAATCTAAGCAGGGCCGCAACCTACCTGCTCAGCACATTTTACAGGTTGTAACCTTGAGCCATCACCACCGCCCAAAGCGTTGCAGGTGCGCTGTCAACCCGAAACCCTTACCTCAAGCCCGACACCACCTGAACCGTCCAAGACGATAAGATGGGTCCCTTCTTCGTGCATCCAAGCTGCATGGCTTCGGTGGAGACAGGCGCTTCCTGTGGTTGAGGGGCCCACTTAGCGGTTCGGGGGCTTTGGCGTTCTTTGGGGTTTCAAGGAGGGCTTCGTGGTTGTTGTAAGCACCGTCATCCAGGTTGCAGCTGCTTTTCTATCTTGTTTTACCTGCCCATGAACCTTCGCGAGCAGGCAGAAACCCAGGTTGATAGGACCCCTTTGGAGTTGTTGTACGGTAGTGATTGGTGCTTGTTTTTTGTGCGGTACTACTGTTACTCCTGCTAACAATCTCTCTTGTCGTTCATAGTAAAACCATTATCGTCACTATTGCAAACTGTCTTTATGTAGTTAAATTGCTTCGGGTTTGGGGCACCTTCTCTTGAGCTGTGGTGAGTCGACTTATTGTGCGAACAGGACACCTCAAGGGCTGGCACGGCAAGATGGCTTCGTGTTCAATGCCCCCGACAGTCATGTTTCGGTTCAGACGAGTAACCCGAAACCCTTGACCCTACGTCTTCGCGTCGGAAACAGTCTACGGGGTTTACATCCTCAACGCTGCACCCTGTGCCTCTCCCTCAAGCGCGCCAGCGCCATCTTCTGCTTTTCAGCCTTGGAGAGCGGCTTGCCTGGGCTGTTGCATCTCAGGCAGTGGGAGGGCGCAAGGCTTTACGGCTGGAGGATCTACCCTGAAGCCGCCGTCCTATGCCCTTTTCAGCACGGGCGTTGCTTGTATGCCAGCAAGCTGGGCTCTCAAGGTCTTCATGAGAAACCAGCACTATGCCCAAACCCTAAACCCAACACCCGAGGTTGAGTTCTTACCAGCCCCGACTTCTTGGCTTGCTGATGAAGGAGCCCTCGGGAGCCCTGATGGTTTTTAAGTGCGGCTCATTGACAGCTATGTATGTATGGCTTGCTGACGAAAGCTCCTGGAGGTGGCTTCTTTATAATGGCAGCATCGAACGGTGTTGGCGTTTTTATTTTGGCAGCAAAAACCAAATTTTGTGTACGGCTTGGTCAAAGAAGTCAGTGCTAACAGCGTCGTCGTCATCACCCTCAGCGCAGTTCGTCCTACAGGTCTATACTCAAGCATCTCCGACATCAGGATCAACCATTGCAGGTGGCTGTTCCCGAACCCGTTTCCAACTGGCTACGTAACCCAATCTAACCCTCAAACTTAAACCATACACCCCGACCCTAATTTCATAGACTCACCAAGACACCCGGATCGGGATCGGCGTGCACATCGTCTGGCGCTGCTTCGCCGGCAGGTTTGTCGGCTTTGGCTGCCTCCTGTCTGACGCTATGCATGAGGACGCTTGGTATGCTACAACCACTACACCACCAAATCCCCGGACAATTCCTCCTCCGCCCCCTGCCCCTGCCCCTGCCCCTTCCCCCTCGTCCTCCTCCCCTTCCCCCTCTCGCTGCCGCTCCGCCTCCTCCTCTTCCTCCTGTGCCGTACGCCTCCTGTGACAACGCTTGCTGCTGCTGTTATTGGTGTTGGTGCTTCCTGCCCGCTGCTGCAGGAACAACTATGCACGGCTGTGAGAAGACATGTGGTGACCACCTATTCCAAATGCGGGATCAGGGCGTTGAGATTTTGAGAAGCAGCCATGAAGGCTGCAGATGAAAGACCTGGCTTGGTCATACTGAGTCGATGCTCGGCATAACAGCTGATCGGCCAGATAGGTTTCGGCTTCGGAATGCTTCGGACGAGACCCCATGTTGTGTGTTTGTGTATGTACTGTACGTGTCTTGAATATGTGTATCCTCAGGCTTCACGTTTATGGTTCAGTGGCCTGTCTGGATCGGCATGCAGGATTGCGTGCTGGTCCACAGGAAGACTACCCCCGGACGCAGGGCTACAGGAAGACTATGCGCGGACGCAGAGCCGTTTGCGGAAACGGGTCAGATTTCATGTGTATGCATGCAACCGAGCCCATGCTGGACAGCACTCCTGTCCTCTTGTTGTAGAAGACCGAATGCACATCTAAACCCTGAGTCAACATGACCGCAAAGGGGCTTGCACTGCGGTAGCATGAAAAGGATATGAAAAGGGCACACCCTTCCCGGATCGTCAGGCATTAACAGTTGGCCCACCAACCCCGGTCCTTGGGCACTGGGGCATGTCTCTTCCTGCTGCCCGAACGCTTCTCCTCGCGACGTCCACTTCTGGATCTGTTCACCTGCTTCCTCGCTGGAGAGCGAGTGCCACCTTTCCGTCTGCTTCTGGACCGTCTTTCCGGCTTCTCCCCACGCTTGCGACTTCGCGAGCGCCTGCTGCGCGACTGCCGGCTGCGCGAGCGCCTGCTGCGCGAGCGCCGGCTGCGCGACTGCCGGCTGCGCGATCGCCTGCTGCGCGAGCGCCGGCTTCGCGACCGCCGGCTGCGCGAGCGCCGGCTGCGTGAGCGCCTGCTTCGCGAGCGCCTGCTTGGTGAGTCACGACTTCTCGAGCGTCTGCTTCTCGACGGTCTGCTTCTGGAGCGCCGGCTTCTGGAACGTCGACTTCGTGAACGCTTCTCTTCTCGTCGTCTGCTGCGCGATTTCTGTGCATCTTTTCTGCCGGAGAGTTTTGCATCTCCATTCTGCGTCGCAGCGGGCTCTGGGACTTTTTCATCTGCCCGCCATCGGCCATACTCGTCCTTGGTCAGAAAAGGCTTGCACTGGGCCACAGCTGATTTTCCCATGCCCGTCTGTGGCATACTCGCTCGACAAGCTCTAACAACCCAGATCAGCTGTTCACTGGTCCGACATCAGAAAGCACAACATGCGGTGTGTAATGCCTGGTCGGTTTATAGCCAAAAGAAAAATATGTCATCCTGTGTCATGACTGCCAGGCAATGCTACAGAAGTCCGCAAACATCGGCTGCGAATCAGATGATGCAAACGGCAAACAGACTATCCCAGCAGTTATTTCGAGTGATCCCTTGAAACCTCATGGCACGAAGTGTAGGCGTTGCAAGTCCCGAAGTGCAAATCCTGCGAGACCGAACATCTGCAAGCCGCAAAGCTAAACTAAAACCTTCATTCCTAAAGTCCAGTCCCAATCTCCAGAGCTGCCGCAAAGGCACCAAACCACCCTTCTTGACATCTGCGTTCTCATTCTTTCCTGCTAGCATGACGGCTCGTCGGGTTCGGGGAAAAGGATTCAAGATGGCGCCCTACAAGCACTGAGAGGTTGGAGTTCCGGGTGTACAGTTTATAGCTTCGGAGTGTACAAACAACCCCGGGACTCAAGACTAGGCAGCCAGAGGGTTGCGCGTGTAGTGGAGGTGCTCCAAATCCTCGGTTTCGGTTCAGGGCCGGTTTGGGGCTTAGGTTAAGGTTTCAGGGCTTTAAGGCATTGGGCTTGTGTAAGGGTTTACGGATTCGTGATTCTCGGGCTTTAGGGTAACAGCCTGAGTAATTGCTCTTCTTATCCCTTAGGGTTCATGTTCTTTGGACAAAACTTTGTAATATACCGAAACCCCATTCTGACTGTTTCAAGCCCCTCTCTCCGCTTCCCAATCATAATCCCCAAACCCTAAACATCCCCCCATGCTGACGATTTAAGGCCGCTATAGTCGAGCTTCTGGAGACCCTTAACCCTAAAGCCTAAAAGACCCTCTGGAGGGGATCCCGAATGTCAAGGGCAGCCCCGCCTCGACTTGCAGAGTCTCCGCGCTCAAAGTATCCGCCACCCTTCCCTTGGCACAAAAACTTTTATATTCATACGTTCATTTATTTCTATATTTGCATGTATATGCTTAAATACACACACATAAATATATATATATATATATATACACATACGCACGTACATATGTGCATATAGGTTTAGAGTCTAGGGGTTTGGAGTTCCACATACGAGCCGAAACAATCTGCAGTGCTGTGCTTTAGGGCCCTAGGGTTCCTTAGTATAACAGTATAGCCATTGTACATTATCTCCCAACAACTCCATTCTACTCATTAAGACTATTGGCCATGGTCTAAATAGGTATAAAGTTTAGGGTCTGTTGGTGGGGTGCTCGGTGACTCAAACGTTCAAGGCCCATTGGCTCGCTTGCACTCACACATAGAAACCCCATGTTACCCCATTCGAGAATTTCATCTGACGCATGAGGTCCAATGTAAGTATTCCTATAACTACGACCCTGCGACACCGCTTGAACATCTCGTGGTGCCTTGCCAACTGGGTACCGAAACCCCAACCCCAATCTTCAAACACGCAACACGTGAGGCCACACACCCTAAGGCCGAAAACCATGAACCGCTGAGTGTCAGAAACCCAAAACCCCTGGCTGCGGAGGTAGGTGCCAAGGCCCATGTTCGCACGGGCCACCATGCGCATCTCTCGCTCTTCCTTCCTCGGCTTTAGGCTTCTGTGGTCTTCTTGGGGAAAGCCGTCTAAGCATAGCATCCTGCAGGCTATATGGGAGTTTCCGAAAATAGGGGATCCTAACATAGTACCCTAAATAGTAGGATCCTTATTGCGTTTGGTCCCTAAGCTCTTTGTGAAGATCTGCAGCTGGGGGAGATCCCAGCAGAAGCCAGCGGAAAGCTTTAAGGGCTTGGGATGTAGATGGGCTCAGGGTTTGAGGTGCTAGGGTCAGAAAAAATAAGAGCCCTTGAAAGGAATCTTTAATCCTTTCAACATCCATTCAGCCCTTGAGGTCCTTGAGACAGGCATCCAAACTCCAAACTACTAAACAGTCTGAAACGGATACCCTCCCAACCACAAGTCTGAAACAAAGCCGATTCCGGACTTTTTGTGTATTAATGCCTGGTCACCGGAGCGTGCCGCAGCTCGTACAATGACTTCTGGACGTCAAGTTGCTGGATCCTGAGTTTTTGGGGGTGGGTTCCGGTGAGGTTTGGAGTTCTCCGTTTCGCAAGTAGTGGGCTGATCTGAAAATTGCAGGGTGCAGCCTAGCAGCTGCGTCGCAGGCACGTACTAAGGACTTCAACGAAACAACTGCCATGCTCACTGTCAAGCATCTGTCGTTTTTGAGTGTTGGGGCTTCGGGGAAACGTTGCACCTCTATTGTCTCTTATCCACAGAGGTCGTCGAAGGCTGCTGGCAACCGCGACCGCATGCTCTGTGCCCGTGCAAGCACCTGTAACCCAACTGTAAAGCACACATTCCGAAGTCGACACCCCAAACCCCTCTGTTTCACGCAGCGCTCTCTTGCCCGCCTAATACCCCGAATAGGGTTTCGGAGGGTTTCTTTTTATATAAGTATAGTATAATATACCCCCAAAACCTATTCTAATTATCCCTGCATATCTCCCTCCAGCCAGGCAGCCGCATGAGTCGCAGATCCTAAGTTGTCTTGGTATCGGACGAGTCTCTTTTTCCTGCACTTCGAAAGAGAAGCCCAACTTGCCTAATGTAGGAATCTGATTCAGAAACCTTGGGCCTTTGTAAGGGTTCCTTATATGAATCCTGCCATTTTCGGGTTATAGGCCCAGGGTTTCTTAATCAGGTTCCTACATTACTCAAACTTGCTACGGAAATGCCGGGGATCCATTTTGGGACTGACTCTGACTCGATCCGTTCCGTCCGCCCTGTTTGGACCACTTGCGAGCGCGCCGGGCGGTCGAAGGACATGGCGCACTGGAAGCCCTAAACCGGTAGTAGCCCCTTCTGAAGGACATGATCTCAGGAAATCCTGCTCGTTGAGGAAGCTCGAACAGGTCAGTCTTCGACGCACAAGCTCAGGCTTCAAATTTTTGTGTGCAGGAATTGCCAATTTTGAGTCCAGGCCCTGAGCCGTAAATCCCAAGCCCTGAATTCACTAGGGGTGCAAGATGGCATTATCACTAGGCTCCTTCCTAGGGAAATTGAAACTTCCAACCTTTTCTGATTCCCTGATCCGTGAACTTCCATGGAATTGGTTGCCCTAAGATTGACTTACGTAAGCGTGAGATACCGAAGAGGCAATCTCGAGCCATCGGGCCACTGCACACTCGAAGCCTTAAGGCAAGATCCGCCACGGAAAAACCAGCTCCGCTATTCGGCCGGCCTTACGTGAGTGCACAAAATTCACTAGACTTCATCTGCTGCGGCAGCTGAAACCGCAAAACATGGTGGCCTTCCAAGATGGATCCTTGGCTTACGCCAGTTCTCACAACAAAGCAAGCCTTGTCATTACATTCCAATACATTCCATCCGACTCCAAATCCTGAACAGACGTTCCCATTTCTTGACTAAAGTGACTATAGGCTGGCTGCCTACAGATCCTTACAGGCGCCCTTGTAGAAACCTTTACTAAATTAAAGGGACCCTGAAAGGAACACAGCACCAAAAAAAAACGAAAAGCCTGCACATGTTGCCGAGCAACCGGCCAAGCTTCTGCCCAGTTCTCCTCCGGCCAAGCATCGTAGTGTTCGGCGTGCTGCCAGTATTTCGATGACGAAGTCTCCTTTCTGGCTTTGGCTTGGGGTTTAACGTTTAAGATTGGGAAGTTAAGCTACCCATAGGCCCAAAAGTAGTTCCTTTTTGGGATGACCTTGAAGGATTCGATAAACGAACCCTAAAAAGGAACTACTTTGGGCCTTAGGGTAAAGAAGAATTCGGAACAGAAAAAATGTGTCTTGTAGGGCTTCGGCCCTCTGCTTGCTGTAGGCTTGCGAAGCCAACTGGTCTACTTCAAGACACACGAACATTAAATCAAAGGGGTGAAGGAGGGACCCTTAATGGGACCCCTACCCTATAATGGGCTATAAAATGGGTATATACTGGCTATATTAAGGGTATATTACCTTGGATTAAACAGTCCAAAAACGAGATATGCACCAGCTCTGGCGCGGGAACCCTGACTTTGAAACATCCAGCCGGCCTTCTGGCTCCAGCCGAGCAAACATCTGAACAGGCTTTTCAGACTAAGTCGACCTCCACACACTTAAGAAAAAAACGTCTCGCAGCCGCCGAGAGTATGAGAAGCTAGGGGACTTCGTGGTTGGCATTGATCGTGCTTACAGCGCGGGGCCTCAAGCAGACGGCGCGGGAACGCAGGAAGCTGGAAAGCCATCCTATCCCAAGCCGGAGTTCCGAAACCCAAAACTTTGAGTTCCCAAACACTCAAACCCTCTCTCTCTCCCAAGCATTCGAAACGTCAAGCCAGTCTACCGTTAAACACTGGGCCTAAGCCCTTAAAACCTTGAAACCTGAGCCCTAAACGCTTAAACCCTAAACCATAGGCCCTAAACTGGCTCCGCATCCAACTTGTTCCCTGAACTCCATGATTTCCACAACATCCGCAACCGGAAAAGCATCCGCCCATGGCTGGAGACACAGAAAGGAAACAGAGGCAGGGGAGGAGTATCCTCAAACGCTTGGGCGACCCAAATGAAAACGGCTGCGTAGAAAACACGAACAACACCTCATGGTGATTGATGATAATGTCAATGATGATGATGGTGACGATGGAGATGATGGTAGTGATGACGATGATGGTAACGATCATGATGCTGATGATGATGGTGATGATGACGACGCAACACCTCTCTGTGTTGTGTGCCGATTTTCTGTGTGACAGAGAACGCTTTTGCAGAGTTCCGGCCTTTGTTGCCAGGATAGTTGGACAAGGACTCGCCCAGCACGCACACCTCAGCGCATTTGTATATAAGCCATTGTGGGGATCTGTGGCGAACGAGGTCAGCGGAGGCATTCGGTCTTTCCTCTCGCACCGGTCTCATCCACGAGAAGGGAGGTGACCTCGACCCTCTTTTCCGCTGCTCGTGCGCTGCACAGCGACATCCTGTCTATGTACATGGCTGTTTGCACACAATTCAAGTGAAACTCTGTGTTGTCTGACATTCAGAAGCCGTTGCAGAGGTCCTTGCGGCTGATCAGCGACCTCCAGCCGTCTCCCGGGATTTTGCTGGCGACGGCCCGTTTCAATCCCTCGAAACTATGTTTATGCTCCTGTTCCAATTTCTTAAGCTCTGCATCAATCTTCGTCGTTTTATCCAACCAGCTTTCCAATGACTTGCCAATATTCTTGTTCGGAAACTTTTTTTGGTCACTCGTGCTCGACAAGTCAGACGAGGGTTGCGGGGCTTCACGATACAACCATGCCATGTTCACATTGGAACATATGCAAACATAAAAATCAAACACTTCCGAATTCATCTGTTCATCGTTCAGCCCATCACGGCACTCCGTAACACATCAACGACAATTCGCAGTTCGTCCAAGGCAAAGCACGCCCCGTTCTGCAGTGCGACACATCCTTTGCAACCAGAAAGGCACCGGGCTCGTCAGCGCCAGCAGGAATGACTCCAGCTCGGACTGCAGAGGGCTGACTGCTGACTGCCCAGTCCACCGAGGCCCATGCCATGTGACCATGTTCCAGCCACTATGCTGTGCTCGAAAGTGTGTGGGAGACGGAGCCAAGTATCACAGGCCCCCATCCTTTACCAGAACCAGACAAGCACCATGAACCGCTGTTCCCCAGGGCAAGCATGCCTAGGAGTGTATATGCAGATCACTCATTGCGAGCTCTCAATAAAGTATTCACTCATAAAGACCAGCCACATTGAAAGTCCAAGAGGAGCCTAAAATGAACCCTACTTCAGTCGCATGCAGTCGCATGCAGTACAGGCGAAGGTTGTAGCATCGCACGTCCCTCTTCAGTACACCTGCTGGTGTGCCCCCCGGTGCAGGAAAATGGCATTCCACTGCCACCACCAATAGGCCAGGAAAACAAAGGTCGCAGTCATGGCGCAAAGCAGCACTTTTGCGTTGTCTCAACGCCGTCCAGACCGAGCCAAAGGTGCCACGTAGCACTCAGATAAATCATCGACGGCTGTCCAGTATCCATCAGCCCTTGCAGTACAGTGTGGTCCAGTGATCGGTGGGTCAGCTAGGCAAGGGCCATGGCATCCTACCTACAGCCCCAAAGTTTCAGCAGAGTTGTGCTGTCGCTCGCTCGCTTTGGCACTCCAGTTTCTCGCCCGACATTGGGGGATAGACCCCATGCACATCCCGGGACTGCGAGGGATATACTTATTGTAGTGCATGTTATGTGGCTTCAAGTCCCTGTAGTCGATGAGCCTGATGTCCAGGCTCTCGCGTCGTCCGGTCAAAGAGCCCTAATTGTGAGGTCCCATGTCTTTCGGCTGAAGGCCTTCCTCCACAACTTTCAGGAGTACCAGGGCCCCAAGCCAGCCATGGACTGGCAGCGCAGGCTGCAACGTGTGTAAAGCTTGGAACCTGGACCGTGTGGGAAACATGCCAAGGAAATTCAAAAAAACTAGAGGCCCTACATGTTCCAATAACGGTGTATGTATAATATATATATATATATATATATATATATATATGTATATATGTACATATACACATTATATATTTTTTACACATATGTAAATACAAGTATATTCATATACATACATACGTACATACATACATATATATATATATATATATGTATATACTACATATCATGTGCAGAGATACATATATACAAATATTTGGTATACACATTCGTCTGTCACCGTAATCTTTCGGCTCTTCCCGCCTCTGCACGATCAGGACTTCAAGGTTGTGGTCTGGCTTGATGTGCAGTGACGTGTCTGGATCAGGTCGGCCAAGATCATGGTAGAACATCCGAACTCTCATAACCCCATACATTTCTGGGACCAGTTTCCTTATCGGACTGTAGGCCGCTCCCAGCTCCAACTCTCGACCATGGTCAGCCATTGACAAACTGAACTTCAATGCGACCGCCTCCCACTGGTCGACTCATACACTTGCCTTTTCATGCCATTTCCAAGTTTCTTCAAAGTCAGAGTTCTCATCGGCGTCCCTTTGACAATTGGAGGGGGGTGGCCTCAGCAACATGTCGGTCAAAATGCAGGTTCAATTTGATAGGTCTGATAGGTAGATTCGCGATGTTGTTTGCCACGAGCTTCTTTCCCCCTGGCCGTGCTACAAGCGTCCAGCAGGAATATGCGTGGAGGTTGTACTCCTTCCCCAGACGGGCGATTTCTGCAAAGCCTCCGGCCGGATTGAACATCGCAGCAGCCTCTCTGCGAACTTCCTCGCATTCCGGATCCGCTTCCCAGGGTGGCGGATGTGACTGACCCGCAGGGGCAGCTTGTTTGGCCGGTGGGGATCCTGGGAGGAAAGGCCGCTGGGCCACAACCCCTTGCTTGTTGCGGCGGATCCTGGCGAGGAGGAGCATGCGAAGTAGCTGCTCCACCGCTTGTTTGGCCACTTAAACTCGTGAACCCTAAACCAATAAGCCAGAAACCCCTCAACCCTCAACCTCTCTCTCTCTCTCTCTCTCTCTCTCTCTCTCCCAAGCATCCCTCAACCTAAACACTGGAACCCTGAACCAACAGCCAGCCCTGAACCTAAGGGGCCTTTGTAATCAGAACAGCAATTTGGGGGTAAGGGTTGAGGGCTTGAGGAAAAAGTACCGCAGAATTACTTGAAGCACCAGAACAGGACGTTGTCACTCAAACCTGTGCAAGCACAACTGAGCCCTGAACTTCCTGAGCCTAGGTTTCCCTTTAGCCCTTGTCTTCGAATTGATGCTTCCTCCTTCCAGTCTTCCCGCTGCATGTACAAGAACGGCACGTGAACTTTCCTCAAAGCGTTCCGGTTGCACACTGCTTGAGCCATGCCTTGCTATTCTTAGGATACCCGAAACCCTAAAGGATAGGGTGTTGGGGTATACTCTACTGCCTATTTTCTATTCAGGAATGCCAAGGAATAGTTGTACTAGTTATTCAGCTTCTTTAGCGCCTCTGTACTCGTGGCTGCAGACATTGACATAGTAGTGACAGGCTTAGTTCGAGAAGAGGCCCAACTTTGTTCTACTCGGGCTTCGGTGTTGCTTCTGTGCTAGGTTTGGGCTTGGGTTTCAAGACTTCGAGCCCACCTGCAGTGCCGGGCCGCAAACCGAGCCCCAGACCCAAACCCACAATACCCCTCTGTAGCAACCGCTTATAGACTTCTTCTAGATCCTTAATTAAGCCTGTTCGTAACACTTGTCCCCCCGAACCTAACTAACCCAGGCCCAACACCCGGATCTCCAAGCAGAGTGCCAGGATGTCATGACATGAACGGAGGCGCCGTTTCCACGCGCAGTGACGGCTCGTGCAGTTTCGCTCATCACCGCGGCCGCAGACGCTGTACCTGGGTCACGTATTATACAGATTTGTGCGCGAGTGTATGTGCGCATGCTGGTATGTATATGCATATGTATACATATATAAACATATATACATACACCTACACATCTATACATATATGTACACAAAGAGAGAGAGCGAGAGAGAGAGAGAGAGAGAGAGAGATGCGTATCCAATACATACACATATACCTATAGCTAAACCAATACCTAGACCGATACATATACCTATACCTAGACCTATACCTATGCCTATGCCTATACATATACATGTACATATACAAATACATTCACATATACACATACATAAACGGATATATGTATGCATAGATGCCTATTACGTGTTATAAAGCATCTATTCTGGTATTATTCGCTTTTTGTCTGTATTCTCTAGCATGAGTCTTCGTTCAGGCTTTCAGGCCTTTTGCATTCGCACTTGCGGTGCCGAACAGGGATTTTAGCACGTCGTGCGCGTAGCTTTTGTGAAGGGTTCAGGGTTTCCATGCTTCCTCAGTCCTGGCTTTCCTGGTTAAGAAAGGTTCAACGTTGCAACGATGGCCGCGTTCTATCCGATCCCAGCTACTGCACAAAGGTCCATGCACAGTTTAACCATGTACACCGTGCCAAGGGCCGTGCCGTAAGGAACTGTCAATGCACTCCCCTACCCTTCAAATCCTAAATCCGGACTCACCGGAGTTCCATGATGTAGTAACCCTTCAAGTAACCCCGCCAGTACCTCGTACAATGCTCCTTAAACAACCTTTTTTCACCGCAACACCCTAATATGGCACTATGTCAATCGGTATCTAGTACAATAGCCCTTCACCCTTGAACCTTACCCAAACAAAACCCTACAGAACCCTTGTAAGAGGCCCTAAGCCGTAGCGTAGCCGTTAACCGTGAACCCTAAAGCCTTAAAACCCTAAACCCTAAACCCCTGAGCCCCTAAACCCTTACACCCGAAAAGGAACCCTTATAGATCCCTTTAAAGGAACCCTTATAGACCCCTTTAAAGGAACCCCTATAGATCCCTTGAAAGGAACCCCTATAGATCCCTCTGAAGGAACCCTAAACCCACAGTGGCCCATGTCCGATGAGAAAACGCAAGGAATCGCCGGCGAGGTCGCTCGGTGCAAAGGTGCCGAAGCAACTCCGTAGCGCCGGAGACCTGATTCCTGTGTTTCGAGGGGTTTAGGGCTTAGGGGTTTAGGGTTTACGGTGTGCTTTCAGGGGTTCTCTTTGCCTCCTACTTCGCTAGGACGAGCCCGCATAGCAGGGTAGTTTGGCTGGTTGAAAGCTTCGCCACGAGTTATGGCAGAGAAGAAAAGACGCATGAACACAGGGACAAATGTTCCCAGTTTGGGGTTTTACTTGGGGTTTCGGGTCTAGGGTGTTCGTTGCATCTGCGGTCCTGCTTTACGTGAGACTTTCAAAGATGCCCACGAAGGTGCATGGCTCATGTGTGCTTACTCTACGCTCCTCAACCCCAAACTGCCCTAACCCCTACACCATGGAAACATGCGGAGGTGATACAGGGGCCTTAAGAATTAGACTATAGGGTTTTGGGGCCCATGATACTATGATTATCATAAGGATCCCCAAAAGTGTAATTATCTAGGCCCCTATAGTAGTGCTCAGAAAAGGAAGACCGGCGTTTTTGATTCCGGGTCTTCCATGCGCTGTTCAAGGATTTTCTTCAACTGGTGTAAGGGTTTAGGGTTTAGGGTTTAGGGTTTAGGGTTTAGGGTTTAGGGTGTAAGACCCTGATCAAAAAACCCTGGGCCTGCCACTGCAAGAACAGTAGAACTCCTACAAAGAACACCAAGAAAGATCCAGGGCTTCTTTATCAGGTTCCTATCTTACTAAGACTCCAGCAGGGCAGACCCGAAAGGGCTATCGGCGGACGCAGAGTCAGTGAGGGCTTTAGGCTTTTTTTGCCTTCTGCGCTGTCGGTCCTGACGAAACCGCACCAAAAGACTCTACCTCCCTGATCAGAAGCATCGATGAAGGATACCTACTGTAATTTCAGTCATATTCCTCAACTGAAGGCCTTGTTGCATCAGGACTTGTGCAGTCGCCTGAATGTTTGAGCAACACGGAGGTCAGGGCAGAAAACCCTGAACCTACAAAGCCCCTTGATCCCTCGAGCCCCTAAACCTACCTAGACCCTCCATCTACCCTCTATTAGACCCTAAACGCCCTTAATTTGGGACCATATACCCCTACTCGAGGGTACAAGGAGGGTCCTGGTATACAAAGCCCTAAACCTCCGCCGGACTAAAGACTAAACACAAGGCCAGCGTCTGCTCCAGTCGTAGCCACAAAGGACTCATGGTACGGGCCCGGTTCCTGAGCCATTAAGGGTTACTACCAGGGTCTGGGATCCTGAAAGTTGGGGTTTAGGACCTCTTAGCCTATAAAGGATCTTCAGGGTATGGGCTTCTTGGGAGAAGCTTGTCTCTAAGCATTCCCAACCATATGGGGTTTTCTCCGAGGGGGTCTTCTTGCAGCCAGAAGAATATTCGGAACATTCGAGAACACATGGAAAACTTCGCTGAAGGCTTGGAGTCTGTTTTTGATAATCCAGTGACTTAACCGGTAGAGCCCGAAAGCTCAACCCGCCATCCAAAGTACGACAGGTCCGTGCAGTCAGGCTAAGGTTTTTGGGCGTGGTCAGGGTTTGTTCAGGGGTCCTGGACCACCATTCGAACACCAAGCTCGGACAAAGGTGTTTCTAGTGTTGGACCTCCAGTCAACTCGCATTTCTATGCCTGGGGAACATTCACCAACAAGCAGACACGCAAAAGCCACAACGACACTCCGAGAAGAAATTGTGGAAATGTAAAAACACACAAGCTGGTAACAACACATAAACAAAACAAAAAAACAGAAGCTGAACAACAAACGTCTCACCAAGAATGTCAAAAGAACACAACAACAACAAAAAAAATCCTCTAAAGTGGGTTCCCAAAGAACCTCAAACTGTCCAAGGACTTCCAAAAAATCAGCTGTAATTCGAAAACAACAGGCGGAACCCCACAGCATTGAGAAACCTCCAAAACACAGTTCCAAAACATTCTGAACAGTTCAAAAAAAGTTCTTCCAAAACATCGAAAACAAAATACAAAAACAGCAAAGCATCCGAAAAACTCTGAAATCTTGAACACTCTGACAACCACACAACAAAATTGTAAACGACATCTAAAGCAGCTCAAAGACTGTTTTGAAAATGCAATATCAACGAACTCCCAAGCGCTAAACTAGTAAACACAAAGTAGCAACATGAAAGACTTAACCACAAACTCAAACAATGTCGACGAAATGAAAAGGCAGAAGAAGCCCCGCACCTGATCGAACACACACCCATTCTACGACCTCCTTCCAGGCTTGTTTCTTTCCGTGTGTTATTGATGCCCTGCCCGGGGCACGCACTTCAGGAAGTCCCCGCAAACTTCGTTGTCTATAAATCTCGAGTTGATGGTTTGTCAGAAGTTGAAGAGGAGAAACATTGCATCCTTGTCCGGTGCGAGTCAGTCCGACTTTAAGGAACATTGAAAGTGTGTTGCTGGATTGCATTGTTGGGGTGTCTGCTCGAAGGCTTAGGGCAAAGGGAAATCAAAAGCATGACAGGGCATTGAACGGAATGGAAACGAAGGAAACGGAATGAAACAGAATGATGCTGAAAGAATTTCGCATGGCATCATCATGAGCTGACCGTCCAACACCCACCCCTCCCAGAAACGATGCTAAGGATCTAAGGGCCTCAAAAAGAGGCTTCTCAGAGTACTATGAAGGATTTTGATGTGCGTTTCTTTGGGGACGGGGGGATAGGCTCTCGGCCCAAGAGCTAGAGGCCCTTGTCCAGAAGCCATTTGGAAGTTTCCCAAAATTAGGGGGTACCTGATTTTGGGGGTCCTGATAATAAGGATCCTACTATTTAGGGTACTATACTAGGGTCCCCTATTCTCGGAAACTCCCGCCATATAGAGTCCTTTAAAGGGTCCCTTATAGTACCCGTAACCCTTTTAAGGAACCCTAAGGGTCCCCTATTTTCGGAAACTCCCATTTCCAGCTTCGAACCCCAAAAATCACAAATGCCAGAGGACCACCCGGGGGCCTGGATGCAAAATAGGAGCCCCAAACACTGGTGACCCAGAGCCCTTTTTGGGGTTTAGGGTATAGGGTTTAGGGTTTAGGGTTTAGGGCCTTCGACGCCACCCGGTAATCCGATTTATGAGGCACGGAAGCATCATGAATTATGAATCCTAAACCATACGTACCAAGAACAACGGAACCTCTCTTCAAACGTACAGCCCTGCAAAGGCTTTGTGGCAACGCCACGACCGGTGCCGAGAAGCTGCTCGGCAGCCTGAACGATTACTTTGACGCCTTTTGCCTCAGGTTGTCAGTCGCTCCGCCGGACATGTCAGCCGCTCTGTCAGATTGTTTTTTTGAAGTTTCAGCTGTTGCTCCTGGATAGCAGTAGCAGTCACAGTGAGGGTATCTCAGTAGTGCAGGCAGCTGCAAAGACAAGACCGTCGCAAGCTTCGTCGTGAATCTATCACACTCATCCTCACTTTACTTCTCCATTTGTTCCTTGTTGCCAGCACCAACGACACGTCGGAATCACCAAGACGATACCCATCTAGATGCACATCATCATTGACACTTTATGTTCCTCACATCCGGAATCAATGTGCAATCACTTGTGGAATTTATGATCATTACGAATCATTACAGCCACTGCCGCCAACTCTATCCTATCACCATCGGGAGAAGCATCCCCACTGCTCCGGCCCAACATGCACGCACATGGAAACGCGAAAGGAGGGCTGAAAGTGGAGTCCGAAGGGCGGTAAGGCGATTGTGGGAGAGATGGACCTCCTCCATGTACCTGGGCGCGTTGAGTGTCTGGCTCTGGCTTGGAGGTACATACTTAGAGGCTCAGGGGACTTAGTAAGGAGGTTATAAGTAGGGCTATAAGTTCTAACCCTACCTATAACCGACTTACTAAGTTTTCTGGGCCTCTGAGTACGGTTCTGGCCTTGCGCACTCCACCACATACTCCATGCAATGTGGGGCCAACATTTCGGGTGTACGTCCCAGATCCCTCAACATGCCACCAAAGTCTCAAATCATTGCTACTGCTCGTTACTTCTACTACGACGACGAGCACCCTTATCATAGTTAGTATTGCTCATTGTCCAGCCCATGCTTGGATCTCTGCTTGGATCCTGCATCCGCTTCTTCTGCTCCTGGGTGATCAGAAGCACACTCTGAATCCAACTCAGAAGGCCGAACAGCTTGGCTGGGTTGTGCTTTAAAAAACCATTGGAAAATCATCTATGAATAGGTTACCTTTATAAGGAAATCAGGGAAATTAAAAATTCTCCCAAAGCACAACCCAGTTGGAACTGCTTTGAATTGCAAAATTGCCTGGCATGAGCAACCCGAGCCCTGTTTTTGCAGCAGGCCTCGTTGTCCAGCAGCCCGGTTGAGCAACCCGAGCCCTAAACCCTTAACTACCCTTCCCCATGATCCCCCAAATCTTTGCGACTGCTTCATCCCTCGCATCCAGAGCCGGTGCCAAAATCCCTATTTCATATTGAACCCTCCCTGAATAGTTTTCGCATGTCAGATAATTGGCTTGACAGCACGAGTGTGGGATTCAAGACCCTTCATGAAAAAGGAGAAACTTCAGCTGAAACACGTGCATTTTTCCAAAAGTTTTGCCAGTTGATAAGCTCCCGTGTCGTCGATCTCGTTCTTGTATGCCTGCGCCATTGTTTAAGGTTGAGGCTGGGGTTTAGGGCACAGCGCCCTGAACCCTAAACCGTGGCATTCAAGGTTAGGGTATAAATACAGCGGTCGGGGGACCCAGATCCTCAAATTCACAATGAGAAGCGGGCGCCCGCACCCAGTCCGGGCCTTGAAAATCCGCAGGTTTGTGCAGCGGCAGCAGAATTTCACCTGATAGCGGGCCACAGCTTGCAAACAGGTAACATAAGTGCTTCTTGCACGATGAGAACTAGGAACTAGCAGAAGTAGCAGCAGCAATAGCAGGAGCAGGAGGAGTAGGCATGGTATGCGTAGGAGCACTAGCAGTATCCGTAGCAGCAGCAGCACTTGTTCTTGTCGTTGTTGTTGTTGTTGCTTCTGCTGTTGTGGTGTTAGCAATAGCTCAATAGCTGATGGCGATAGGTCCTGCCAGCGGCAACAAAATGAGTGACTTCTCAGGCCGCCCTGCGGCATCTCTTTGCCAAGGGGCACGGCAAGCTGACATAGAGCCCTGCTTGTAAACCCACCTCTCTTCAGAAGGATGATAATGGGTATTTTCAGGCAACGACGACGGGCCGAAACTGAATTCGCCACTTGCACCAACTTCCCGAGCCCCCGAAAACCCTGAGGCTACGGTTGATGATATAAATCCTGTATTACCCATAATAAGGAATATACCATAATTCCCATAGTTTAGGGTCCTTAAGGTAGTGCAGGATTTATATCATCAGCAGTATGTTCAGCTTCCGTCTGGTGGCCACCGTCTTCAGCCCTCTTGAAGTCAACAGGTTCTGGGAGATATCGACCTCGCGGCGCTCAGATTTCGGCTTGTCTAGGGTTTACCTGTAGTCGAAAAGAACTACTCTTTTAGGGTTCCTTATTATGGTTTTTATATACACTTCCAGAAAAAGGTAGGTGTTGTTGGCTACAGGTAGGATTGAAGGAGCTTCAGCTTGTACACTCCAAAAAACCGACGCGAACCGTACATGCTCTTCTTTCATCAAGTGCGCAGGGCTTGGCATGAGTTTAGGCTTGGGGTCCTGTTCAACCTGAAGGGTCATCAATAAGTTCTGCGATCGACACGTCGGTGTCCGAAAGTTCACGGCACGAGACGGCGAAAGCCGAACACCCTGGGGGTTAAGGGTAAGGGAGCATGTGGCCGCTTATTCTTTGTCGCTTGGACTTGTCTACAAGACACCTGCTCCTAAATCCTCAATCCGCATTTTGGGCGTTCCGGACGCCGGGCTCTTGGAAGGAAAACTGGGCGTATAGACTTGGGCAGCTAAACTCGTTGCAGGAATTTACGAGCAACCTTTACACGGTTTCGCCGAAGGCTGCCTCCTCGTAGTCGGTGCTCTCCTCACAGGGTGAAGGGATTCGGAGCAAAACGTGCCTGGAGTTTGAGGGTCTACGACTTGCGGACAACTGGATCACGATACCTCGCAGCTGTAGCAAGCATGCAAGGCTCTATGATAGCTTCAGCATGCGACCCTGCTCTCCTAGCGTGATATATTGGTATGTTGGAGGAGGTCGGGGTTCGCGGTTTGGGATTTCACGCGGGGTGACAAGGCCCGTACATGAGGCAGGACAAAAGGCAAACAAAGAACGACAGATAGCAGAACCAGGCATCAAACGACTGATCCAGAAAAGCATTCAACTTTCTGCTCGAGTTCCAGTATTCGCTGTGTACCAGCCTCGAGGCTGCGGGGAACCCCGAAACCCCAAGCCCTGCAACACGTAATGTAGGGGCGTGAAACACTCCAACTGCCAGGTCTTGAGCTTCTTGGAAAGGTGGTAACCGAAACCAGGAGAGGTAGGAAGGAAAAGTAACCTGGGCCAGATGTAAAGGAAACCACGCCAGACTTCTCACCGAAAACAAGAAGCCTGAGAGATACCTTGAACAGGAAACCTCCTGCAATCCGAGAACAAGCAGCAATCCAAAAGCTTTAACGCTATATCGCCAGCTCAGGAAACACACTTGAAGATCGAAAACGCTAGGCTCTGAACCCTACAGCACGTGAACTCTTCTGCCCAAGGTCTACCGTATTGCCAGAACAATCTACCCTAGAACCTAAACAGATGCCGTTCCATGGTCCTGATTTGTCGCAGTTGTAAGAAAACTTACTCGGTAAATAATTTGCCTTGCACTGAGGCCTTCTGCTATGCAGTGCTGTTCTTTCATGATGGCTATGCATGTTACATGGTGGCTTCTGCTCCGAATTCGCTGTGACGCGCACCAGGTTTCCGCCACGTCGTTCAGTACTAGTGGTCATATGTACTAGTATTAGTATTGCTTGCAGTGTTGAGATTGAGGGTTTGGGGTTCCTTGCCCTTGCTTGGAACAAGCTCTGAAATGCCCAGGCTACAACCACACCGCACCACAAAAACTCACAGAGACCAAATCCGAACACGTCCCCAATAGCTAAAACTCCGACCCTGAACCAAGGCCACCCCGCCGAAACCGGGACTGCCTGGTTGAGGCCGAGGTTTGGAAGGTCATCATCTGTCAGCTTGCTTCTTGCATGGTACAGCGTGTTGAACTTGGCTCGGCCGCCCTTCCCCATGGCTCAAAAGCGTTCCGTGAGGCCGGCCCTAACCATGCTTGCACTAGCACGGCTGTGCTTGTTTTTGAGCCGAGCACACGCAAAAAGGCACTTTGCAGTGTGATTATGGCGGCAAGACTATTCCGGATTTAGGATGCGAAGGCTACCCCGAAACTCTACACCAAAGGGGTTTCGGCATGAAGAGTAAGTGGCGCTCGTCCCGCAAACCGAAAGCCGAGTGACTTCGATTGAGGAGGGATTCAGCACTCTGGGTTTCAGGTTGGGTTCAATTCTTCATGTTTTGAGAGGGTGTAGAGTTTTGCGACATAGACGTTCATCCTTGCATGTTTTGCATGATCAAAATGTTCCTCCTCGCATGTCTTGCATGGTCACTGTCGAAGATATGGTGCTGACAGCCCCTGAGCGTGTCAAGCCCGAAAGTAATAACAGGTTGGATGCGGGCTGTAAATTAGGGGCATACAAAATACTCAGGGTTTAAGCTTTGGAATTTGGTCCGAAAGGTTTGCGCCTACGCTCTCGCACTCGACCAATCTCCACCACATGCAGATCTTGGTCGCATGGCTGCGACTTTTGGTGAAGATTGTGGTTCAAAAACTTTGCCGTTGGCGGGACTTCCCCGAAAAGAGTACGAAGGTTGAGCAACCGTGCAACTCTTAAAGGCACCCAGCTTTTGCCAGTCTATGTCCCATCTGCTTCCAAACATCGAAAGAGCTTAGGATCCATGCCAAACAAGCCGAGACTGCTTGAAATTGAGCCGAAAGTTCTGAGCTCAAAACCTGCCCTGAAGTCGAATCTCCAAACCCCAAACCCAGAAAACCGAGAACTGAAGTCCCTCACAGCCCTTGAACTTAAACCCTCTGTCTCGCCTCCTACACTGCATATTCTAAGGTTTAGGCCTCAAAGCCTCGAAAGCCCGAACTGTAAGAGATGGCGAACCCCTGAAGACTAACCTGCAAACCCCAGCTTCAGCCCCGAACCCTTGACCTGAAAACCGCGTGAAAACCTTTAAACCACAAACCCTGAAACCATACCTGCACTCTGAATCCATCAGCACAGCATCCTGGCGTAATCCAGGATGAATTCTGGAAGGCTGACGTTGCTGCCACCTGGGGAGCCACTGACGGGTTTGGAGTAAAGGGTGCGGTATTTAAAGCTCTCCACAGTATGCTTTACAGAATGATAAAAGGAGGTCTAAATAGCTGGACGTATTATTCAATCTTAGCCCCTGTATATGTATTGTATAGTACTCCCATTAATGCTACGCGGCTTTCCAAGCTTTTGAGGGGCCACTTCGAGATCTGAGCTGCCTTTACGGGGGGGTGGGGGGGCTCTATCAGCCACAGCAAGGTGTAAGAAGAGCCATGAAACGATTGGGTTTAGGGTTTAGGGTTTACGGTTTAGGGTTAAACGTAAATTTTAACTGCTGGGTTTCGGTTTTCTACCTCGCGCATTGCCAGGACGAGCCCACATTGTTACAGCTCTGGAAGGAGCTACCCCAGTTTAAGGTTAAGGGGTTAATCTCAAGTCTATGAACGACTAGTTGCGAGCGGGAGGTTGATGTTGGACTGGCTACATGTCTATACAGCCAGTGACCACAGCCCAGTCTCCTTTGACACACCTCCCGTTCGCAGACAAGGCCACGATTTGACGGACCATTGCGAAGCTGATCGACAGTCACTCCCACTACCACCGGCAAGCGGCAGCTGCAAATGTGTTTCAAGCGATACGACACTTTAACAGAAGCTTCAAGCATTAGGTTGTCGCATCAGGCCGCATTTCTTATAAGAAAAAGACAGAGGCCCTTTGGCCCTGAAATTTGCCAGACCCTACAGGCCTAGAGCCAAACACTTGTAGATCTGCATGGGTTAAGGGTCCAATATTTACCATGTAGGACACTTCTTTCTGCAGCCAAGGCGTCCATCACGCCAGCCTCGCCAAGCCTTGCATGCTGCATGCAGTGGGCTGCGACCGCCTTCTTATCCTTACATCGTGTTTCTTGCCAGGTCGCGACGATATAAATGATATAAAGGTATATCGCGCCTTCAGTCTTACTAGTACTTCGCTCTTGCTAAAACAAGTAGTGCGAGTGCTACACTTGTTTAGCATATTTATGACCAATAGGCATGCTACTTTTACAATGACTACTTGTGGACAGTCTGAGCATTGCGCCACCGACGACCATTACGACGACGACTGGGACGACGACCACTGCTACGAGCCCCATTACCACTGCAACTACGATTGCGACTGCGACAAAGACAAGGACCAGGACGACAACAAGTACTAGTGCTAGTGCTAGCACTAGTGCAACAGCAAATGCAAACACTCGTAACAGTAAGAATACTTGCACTTGCTCTTGCACTAACTAGCACCAGCACGAGCAGTCGCACCACCACCACCACCACAACTACTACCACCACTGTCAGGACAGACAGTCAGGCAACCTGCTCCGCAGCGCGGAAGGATCTGGCACCTGGCATCCACAGGCTGCGCGAATCCCCCGATGAGGCAGGCAGCCACGAAACAAACAGCAATGATTGAAATAGGAGCTTCGGAAAGCGACTGGACAAAGATATTCACACGTACATATACGTATATACACTAGAGATATACAAACCCGCACGCGACGTCTGACACTGCAGTTGGAGCCCGAGCACACGATCATGTTGCACTGGGTGTGTTAAGACTGCCGTCTTGAGTGCATTTTTCCGAAGACTTATGCGCTTCTTTTGGAATTTGGTGTCCCGTCCTCAATGCACTTTTTTGGCTTGCCCGGCGGTTTTTGTGTTTTGCTTTGTCCTTTCTGCTGTTGGTCAGTCTTAACTGTGTTGAGGATACCAATTGCGCTTACCCGTTTTGCGGTTATCTTGGAGTAATCGGGTTGTGGTTTCAAGATTTTGGGGCCCCTTTGACCCTCCGTACTACCCCGGTTCGACGACGACGACAACTACTACTACTGCAACCACTACTGTTACTACTGATGTACTACCACTGTTCTACTAGTGTACTACTTTACCAGGCATGGACGGTGAAGGAGAGAGTGTATGATGAAGGAAAAGTCTTCAAAACGAAAATGTTCAGGTAGTTATGTTAGGGCGATCGGGCTTGCTTTGGAGGCTCTGGGGCCTCGTAAACAGCTCTAGCTACCCAAATCTCTCGTACTTTGCTACTGCTAAGTTACTGCTACTGTACTGCTACGTATGGTCCATTTTGGGTAAGAATGTAGGATGAAGGAAAAAGCCGTCAAAACGAGAGGCTTTTTATTTTGGAAATTATCTTCGAGTGATCGGCTCCGGGGCACAGATTGCACCGTCTGAGTTGTGGTGTTTGTTGTTGCACATCAGGGGGTATCCCTTCATCATGTGGGGTTACGATTGTAGTGTCGGCTACAATATTCTGTGCCAGTCCGTAAAGCCAGGGCCCCATGCCGTCTTGATGAGCAGTTATCGGTCGCCTATGTGTAGACGCGAAGTTCTTCAAGGACAAGCTCTGCTTCGGGATTGCTGTGCGCTCTGACCAAAGCGTGATCACTGAAATTCTACGATTGAACGTCAACGGGGGAAGATCACAGACAGGATCATCCCTGCCACCATCATTGTGAGAGTTTGCGATTTGCAGCCTTCCCTGCAAGCCCGATCGGCCGAAGCGAACTGAAGATCCGGCTTGCCTACGCATTGAAGGGGCTTGAGGGTTCAGCAGGCGATCGAGAACTGACTCAAGGCCGTCGTCGGACCGAGTAAGCTGTATAGAGTTTAGGACGTGCCTGGCCTGGCGTCGAATCCTTCTTCGCGTAAGAGACCGTCGGCGTCAGCAGGATGTCCTGCGGAAGTGACGTTCGTAAGATTGCAGACTGCCGAGAAGGCACGTTTTGCCCGGCACTGCATGCATGCGTGCCCCCGTCCGAGTGGCCCAATGCGGCAAAAAGGAAGGGCCTGTAGCAGCTTGCAGATGCACAAGGGCTTCTGGGGTGCAGCTTCTCTTGCCGATTGAACCATACACGCCACGGTAATTCACGTCTACCCTTTTGGAAGCCAGCTATTGTCTTGATACAGTTACCGCTCCGTGGCTGAGGATGAGGCAAGTGAAGCGCATGAAGGTCTCCAGAGATGACCGGCAGAGTCTGCAACGGGAGGCTGCGATTTTTGGGCTTTGGAGGCCGTGTAGGTGCAACTCACCAGAAAGTCGAGGTCTTCGTATCAGTGGCTGTGGTAGTAGAGCATTAGCTAGCAGCAGAAGAAGCAGCAGCTGTAGCAGTAGCAGTAGCAGTAGCAGTAGCAGTAGCCGTAGCAGTAGCAGTAGCAGTAGCAGTCGCAGTAGCAGTAGTAGGAGTAGCAGTAGCAGCAGTAGGAGTAGTAGTAGTGGTAGGAGTAGGAGTAGGAGTAGGAGTAGGAGTAGGAGTAGGAGTAGGAGTAGGAGTCGGAGTCGGAGTCGGAGTCGGAGTAGTAGTAGTAGTAGTAGTAGTAGTAGTAGTAGTAGTAGTAGTAGTAGTAGTAGTAGTAGTAGTAGTAGCAGTAGCAGTAGCAGTAGCAGTAGCAGTAGCAGTAGCAGTAGCAGTAGCAGCAGCGGCGGTAGCAACAGGAGCACCAGACCAGCAGCAGCAAAAGCAGTTGTAGTTGGTGGTGGTGGTGGTGGTGGTGGTGGTGGTGGTGGTGGTGGTGGTGGTGGTGGTGGTGGTGGTGGTGGTGGTGGTGGTGGTGGTGGTGGTGGTGGGGGTGGGGGTGGCGGTGGCGGCGGTGGCGGTGGGGCAGAGCGGCAGCGGTCGTGGCCACAGAATCGTGGTAGCAGTAGTGGTCGTCGCGATTGTTGTCGTTGTCTTAGCAGAGGGAGCAGCAGCAGCGGCAGTCCCTTTTAGCACCGTAGCAGTAGGAGCAGCATAGCTGCCACTGCCATGACCAGCACCATCATCGTAATCAAGCTTCGGCACGGTCCTGCGGACATCGCAGGCTCAAAACTCTCGTTACAATACAAAGCGAGCATCGGATGCTGCGTCTCAAGTCTTG